ACTAAGAAGAGCTGGTCTCTTGGAGACACACCTCACGTGTAGACCCACAGCTCCACCTTGGCCCTTGACCTTGCCTGGGGCCTGCCTCTTACATGCCCCCATCCTCTGAACACCATCACTTCTCTGCCCACACCCCTGCTTTCATCCACCTCTACCATCACTCCCCTAGTGTGGCATTCAGGGCCTTTCCTACTACGGCCCCATCCTCCCCCAGCTGACTCCATGAGACTTGGCACCCCCTCACACCCACTGGCTATGTCCATGGTGCCCCATCCCCACACTGGATGGCTATCCAGGTTGAGCTGCATGGTGATGCTTGCTGTGAGTGGGCCCTAGAATGAAGCTACCTGGGTTCAAACCCCATGGGCAAGGCATTTAACCTCGCTGTGCCTACTTTCGCCATCATAAAATAGGGACAATAAAACTTACTTTGTAGGATTGTTGTTGTCAATCAATAAAACGCAAGGGATTGGAATCAACTCCCATAGCACCTGAAACATCATTGGTGGTCAACAAATGTTCAGTCCCTCCTCCCTCAGAGACACTGCCACCTTTCAAATGGCCAATAAACAATGATAGGTGCCCAAGGTTAGCCGTTAGCATCGTCCTCGTCGACTTACAGCTCTGCCTCTCCTTTCTGGGTGTTGGAAGGGTATGGTATCGTGAACAGATAGTAAAAATTAGCCATGCCAACAAAAATAAAGATAAATAATTTCAAGAAATGAACACAGAAAGTTAGCCCAATATTGCAGTTCTATTTTGGCACAGGAACTGGCGGTTCTGACAGTGGAGTCATTTGATAATCCCTCTGAGCAGACTAATGAAGGGCGTGATGTCATGGGGGGGTGATCAGAGGAGAAGGATCAGGATAAAAACAGCTCCAGGGTGAGTCAGTGTGGAGATGCTACACAACGGTGTCGCCTACCCATCTCCCTGCTGTACAGATTAATCGGAAGTCAAGGGGACCCCCTTGCAGGGAAATGGTTTAGTCAAAATACACGAGCATAATGTGGGATCTAATATGACCTGTGTGGCTTTTGACAAAACAAATCTTGAAATGCAAAGCAAACCAGTGAAGTTCCCTGAGTTGAGTGTTCCATTTTCATCTGGGTGAGATACTCACTGCTGTTTTACTTCATAGTGAAAAATGAAAATCTTTCTCTCACAGCCCTGACACTCACTCTTTAAGTCACTGCCCTTTGTTCTTCCCCACATATTCTTCCTCCTGAGGAAAGGGTTGTTTGGACTCAGAGTCTACACAGTGGCTCTTCCCATTCATTCCTGGGGTCCCTGCAACCTGGCTTTGGCCACCACCAGCCAGGGTCACCCCTCCTGCAGACTTGAGTCTTCTTGCTGCCCCTCCCCCCATGGTCCCACTACAGCTGACAGCCAATCCCTTTCCTGCTCCCCACCCCCCACAACGAATGCCATCAGGACTCATGCACAACACCCACAAGAAGGCTGAGGATGTGATGAGGCAGGAAGATAGCTGCAGCTGGCCAAGTCCCCTAGTACTGGTGGCCTCACCTGGCCTCTGACCTCACATACCTCTCAGTCTCAGGTCAGCCCCGAACCCTCATTCGGTCTCTCCAGCTCTTGCATTAGGTTCTGCCCATTTTGATTTGGCCTTTGGTTCTCAGTCCACTTGTGGCTAACTGGTCCCCATTGTGCCTAGCTTTGCCCTATTTCCACTTATCTCTCAAAGGCTTCTACCCTGGCCCACACACTTACTTGCAGAGCCCCAGACCCCAATTCCTGTCATGCCCTCTGCCTGGAGCTTGACAAAGCTAATGATGCCCACATCTCTATGCTAATGATGCCACTGAGCTCCAGGTGGATCCCTTGCAGAACTCAACACTTTCATGTACAAAGGTCTGCACCTGGGTGGCCCACAGGCACTTCCAACTCCAAAGGTCCTAAAGTGAACTCAGTATTACCCCTGAACCTGCTTCTCCCCCAGTGTTATGAGCTGAATTGTGTCCCTCCAAAAGTCATATGTTAAAGTCCTAATCCCTAGAATTTGTAACTATACTTGGAGATAAGGTCTTTAAAGAGGCGATTAAGTTACAATGAGGGTTTTTGGGGTGGGCCTTAATCTAATCTGTCTGGTGTCTTCATATGAATATATTAGGACACACAAAGGGACACCAGGGGACATGTGCACAGAGGGACACAGTGAGATGTGGTCACCTGCAAGCCAAGGAGAGAGAAGGCTCAGAAGAAAACAAACCTGCCCATACCTTGATCTTGGGCTTCTAACATCCAGAACCGTGAGAAAATAAATTTCTGTTGTTTAAGCCATCCAGTCTATGATACTTTGTTATGGCAGCCCTGGGAGACTAATAGACCCATCTTCATTCATTGCACCAACATCCACTTAGTTTTTGAAGCTGGAAATCTGGAACCTTCTTTGACTCCTCCTCTGACCTCACTGTCACAGCCAGAGAGTCACAGTTGACCCCGTTTTTCTTTTCCCCTCCCACTTACCTTGAGTTTCTCCCCATCCTGTCCACCTTCCTGTCATCATCTGGGTGATGGTTCATAGTCCCCCAGTCTGCAGAAGAAACAGACCACCACCCCCTCTGGCCAGGGTACACAGCACAATGTGGGACATGCAGGGCGTTCACTGTAGCCACAGCCTGACTCTTGGTGGGCATGGCACGAAGGTGTGTGGGGCAGGGACTAGACGTTAATGTGGAGACAAGGGCAGGTGGTGAAGGACTCTGACGATCAAGCCACTTTCTGGAGTCTTAGGCACTGTTTGTAAAGATCATATGGAAATACACATGAAGATGGACAGTATTGTATAAATATGAGCTAGGGGGGTTCTCTGAGCTGTGCAAAGTTGTAAAATCAGATGAATTTGCTCCAGCCTTTGTGAACCTCCCAAACCTGAGACGCCCACAGTCCTCTGTCTTCTCCCCGCCCCATTCTCTCTTCCCAGATGGCATGGGCAGGATTTCATGCAGTGGCTGGTGCAGGGACCATGCTGGCACCCCGGGATGCTTCCACATCCCTCTGGGATGGGGTCTCATGGCAACAAAAGATGGCTCCGTGGTGTGATGGGTTTGAATGGTTTTATCTCTATTTTCCTCGTTTTGGTTTTGATAATGGACTTCTATTTTACTGTTCTTGGTTTCCTCTAGTCCTTGTTATAAACAGAGAGGGTGTTCGTGTTGAAATAAACCACCCAAGGCTCCATTCAGACACAGGTCAACGCCTTCTGGAGGACATGAGGGGGCTTCTGGAACGCCCCTTACCTGCAATATCACAGAGTTCTGCATCTGAGGCATTTGCCAAGGCCTCCTCCAGCTCCGGCTCCAGTGTCACACTTTCCAGCACAGGATCCATTGGCTTCTGCTTGGGGACCCAGACCTTTCCTGCAAACACACAGTGCTTGTTACAGGGAGTGCAGTGGCACTGGGGCAGCCTCTGGTGATGGCCCCGCCTGACTGTCCCAGAGCCCTGTGACCTCTTGATGCTGAGAGTCCCCTGAAGTTCTTCCCTCTGGGGACCCAGTGCCAAACTTCCCCAAAGGACAGGAATCGAAGGTCTCCAACAAAGCACGTTTCACATTTGAAAAGAATACCTTTATAACTCGGTCAAACTAGACTGCTTGCTACTGAAAACATTGGTCATTAATCTAAGCACCTATAAGTAGGAAAAAGATACAAAAGAAAAAAAATAATAGAATGCCAGGATCTGAGACACCCTAACCAAGGGTTCTGATAGGGGAGAAAAATTTAAAAACACCTCTAAACAAAATAAATAAAACACATTCAGGTTATTAAAAGAGGAATAAGGAGCAAAAAAGGTCTCCTTGCCTCATAGGACGTGATATTTTCAAAGTGTCAGACTCATAACTGAATGAGGGAGCAAAAAGGCACATACAAGGATGGTCACTGCAGTGTCCACCAACAGGGATTGCTAAAGAAATTCTGGGCATCCATACAATGGCGTTCTAGCAGTTATTATAAAGGATGATGGAGATCTCCACTTACTAAGAAGGAAAATGCCCAAGACAAAATGTTGTGGCAAAAGCAAGTTTACAAAAGAGCATGAACAATTTAAGTCCATGATATGAAAAATTACAGATATATATATAATAGATATTTATTGAGTGCTTCCTATGTGCTAGGCACCTTTCTAGGGGCCAGAATAACAGTGAACAATGTAGTGAAAGGAGACAGTTAATAAGCATGTAAAAATATCAGATGGTATTAAGCATTGTGGAGAAAAATAAAGCAGAACAAAAGACTAGGAAGTTCCAGGCTGGGGTGTGGGTGAGGTGGGCACTGCTCTTTGGGGCAGGGTGGTCAGGGAAAGCCTCGCTGAGATGACGGCCTCTGAGCTGAGGAGAATGAGGAGGAGAGGAGCCCCTAAGATCAGCAAGAAGACAAGGATGCTTGCTTTCCCTGCTGCATTCAACATTGTACTGAAAGTTCTAGTCTGAGTAAATGGACAAGAAGAAGAAATACATGGCATCCAGACTGGGAAGGAAGAAGTAGACTGATCTCTGTTCACAGGTGACATAATCTTATACAAGTATGTAGAAAACCCAAAAGAATCCAGAAAAAACTAAGAAGTGAATTCAGCAAAGTTATACAAGATCACCATACAAAAAATATATGGTATTTCTGTATACCAGCAATGAACAATCTGAAAGGGAAACTAGGAAAATCAGTTCATTTATGATAGCTTCAAAAAGAATAAGATACATAGGAATAAATTTAACCAAGAAGTGAAAGACTTGTGCATAGAAAACTACAAAACATTAGTGAAAAAAAATTAAAGAAGACCTAAATAAACAGAAAAACATCCCAAGTTCAAGCATTAGAAGACAAGATTAAAATGGCAGTAATGCCCAAAGCAATCTATACATACAATGCAATCCTTACCAAAATTCCAATGACCATTTCTTTCTTTCTTTTTTTTTTGCAGAGATGGAAAAGCCAGTTTTCAATCTCATAAGAAATTGCAAGGGGCCCCGAATAGCCAAAACAATTTTGATAAAGAACAAAGTTGGAGGATTCAGATGTCCTGACTTCAAAACTTACTACAAAGTTAAACAGTGTGGCATTGATATAAGGATAGATATACGTATAAATAATGTGATAGAACTGAGAGTCCAGAAACAAACCCACACATCTATGGCAAGTTTATTTTTGACAAGGATGTCAAGTCCATGCAATGATGAAAGAATAGTTTCTTCAAGAAGTGGTGCTGGGACAACTGGATATTCACATGTAAAAGGATGAGCTTGGACTCTTACCTTATACCATTTAGAAAAATGAACTGAAAACGGATCAGTGACTTAAGCACAATAGCTAAAACTATAAAACTCTTAGATGAAAACATAGGCATAAATCTTCATGACCTTAGATTTAACAATGTAGTCTTAGTTATGACAACAAAAGAACAAGCAACAAAAGAAAAAATAGATCATTAAATTTCATCAAAATTTAAAACTTTTGTTCATCAAAGAACATTATCAAGAAAATGAAAAGACAACATATAGAATGGGAGAAAATATTCACAAATCATATATCTGATAGGATCTAGTATCTAGAATATATAAAGAAATTTTACAACTCAACAACAAAAGCCAACTATAAAATGGGCAAAGGATTTATAATATTTCTCCAAAGAGTATATACATATGGCCAACAGCACATGGAAAGATGCTCACCATAATTGGTTATTAGGGCAATACAAATCAAAGCCATAATGAGATATCACTTTGTACCCACAAGGATGACAATAGAAACCAAAAATCAAAATAGAAAATAACAAGTGTTGGAGAAATTGGAACCCTTGTATATTGCTGGTGGGAATGTAAAATGATGAAGTATTTTAGTTCTTTAAAAAATTAAATATAGTATTACCTTATGATGCAGCAATTCCACTCGTAGGCAAATGCCCAAAAGAACTGAAAATAGGCACTCAAACAAATACTTGCACATGAATGTTTATAGCAGCACTAATCACGGTAGCCAAAAAGTGGAAACAACCAAAAAGTTCATCAGTGATGAATAAAAAAATTATAGAATATTATTCAGTCATAAAAGGGAATGAATGAGTCTCAAAAACAATATGCTAAGTGAAAGAAGCCAGACACACAAAGTCACACATTATATGATAGGAAATACACAGAACAGGTAAATCCATGGAAACAGACTGGTGATTGTCAGGGGCTGGGGGCAGGGCGGAATAGGAGTAACTGCTTATTGGGTACAGCGTTTCGTTTTGGAGTGATGAAAATGTTTTGGATCTAGATAGAGATGATGATTGCACAACACTGTGGGTGTACTAAACGTCACTCAACTGTTCACTTTAAAATGGTTAGTTTTATGTTATGCGAATTTTATCTCAATTAAAGAAAAAACCCTGCTCACTTTGGCTACTGATTGAGAATAGCCCCAAGGCGGGGGGAGTGGGGGACAGGGCAAGGATGGAAGCTGGGAGATGGTTAGGAGGCTCCTGCATTAGTCCAGGTGAGAGATGATGGTGACTTGGACCAGGGTGGTGATGGTAGAGGTGGGGAGCAGTGGGAAATGCAGAGAGAAATGTCCAGGCAGATAGTCACTAAAATGGAGTCGTGCCTATCTCTCAGTGGAGGGAATTACTTCAAATTACTTTGTTTTATTGTTTAAATTGTTTATAGCACAGATTACCTATATAAGCAGAATACACAACAAAATCACCTGGGGGGAAATGTATCATAACCTTTACCAGGGGTGGATCTGGAAAAGGGAAAAACATACAAAGAAATAAAGTGGCTAAAAATAAATAAATAAATAAACTGTGAAAATCACAGATGCAATGACTAGGATGGATATTCAGTAAATGTTTAAGACCTATGGTTTATTGTATCCCTGCAGCAGATACCTCCAGTGACTCTAAGACACCACAAGAGGGATTTGGACTTCTTCCTTTCCTTCATCTTACTAATTGGAATGTGGATGTGATGGCTGGAGCTTCAGCAGCCTGACGGACCATGAGGACAAGGACATATTTCAGTGATGGAAGATTAAAAAATGGGAAAGGGTCTTGATTCCTAATGCCAGGCAAGATGCCTTACCAGCCTGGACTGCCTAACCCTGCAGCTCTTCTAAGTGAAACCTCCATCTTGATTAAGTCTCTCTTTTTTTATTTTACCCTTTTCCCTAGCACATGCAGCCAAACCTAATTCTAATGACAATATCCTGCAAAGAGCTTTATTCTGATCCCCTCACTGGAATGAGAGTAAATGAAGTCCAAATGCCACAGGACGTTGCACCAGTGTGTGGCTCCTATCACATTCTGTTAGGTCTTGTGGTAGCTACAGTGCTATTTCCGCTCAGCCTGGGCTAGTTCTAAGCCCAGTGTTGGGTGAATGTTCAGTAAGGGCTGGACTGAATGGCCCTGAGGCTGCCTGTTAAAGCCAAAAGGTCTCCTTCCCCAAGCTCTCTGCTGAGACCCTGACTTATTCAACCTACAAGGACTCCAGCAATCATCATGTAAACACTTTATGGCTAAGATACTGGTGGTGGTGATGATGATGATGATGGTGAAGAACTTTTTAGGATTGTCATTACATGGCAATAGAATAAATTCTAGCTACCTCACTGGGTCAGCCTGGTTTTTCATGAAGGCAGCCAGGCTCTGGGAGTCTGGAGCACTGTTCCTGGCTCCGGACTGGCACTCCCTGGAGGGGCAGGGTTGGTTGTGTACCACTCAGATTCCCTTCTCCACCCCACCGCACCTCCAGCTACTGCCCTGGGAGAGGGGGCGTGCCTGAGGATGTGGATGCCAGCAATGACTCACCAGCTGTCCACCTAGGTCTGCTGCTGACTCTCTCACAGCCTCGGTTTCCCTACTTTTCACATGTGCAGGTGGGACAATGGGAGTTTCAGGGCCCCATGAAACCCAGAGATTCTGTTCTCTTTATCTGCTGTACAGAAACCACTCCTTATGGCACAAGTGCCTTGCTTGAAAACATCTCATGCCCACACTCTCAGCTGGGCACACCCAGCCCTTATGGTCAAGGCCCCCATCATTCCTACCCACTTGCCCTGCCACCCCCTCTAAGACGTCTCGGACTACACAGTCTTTCCAAAGTTCTGTAATCCAATTGCCCTGGGCTTCCCTGACCTTCTAAGTTCTCAGGAAAATCTGGTCTGAGCTCCAACGCCAGGGTTTGAGGTGGCTCAACGTCCTCCCCATTATGTCTAATCATGTATGCTCTGTCATTTTATTATTTATCAAGGAGCTCCGTGCAGTGCATTGTGCTAATAATACAACAGGGATACAGAGATAAAAGCCACGGACACAGACCCCTGGCTCATCAGGCTTACACTCTTGGGGGTGGGGAGAATGGAAGAGACTGAAAATAAACAATTAGTCACACAATTAATTAATCAGAATTAATGCTTTCATTCCACAAATATTTATTGGGTGCCTACTATGTGCTAGGGTTTACTATGGATATACTTAGGATATAATGATGAACCAGACAGATGTGGTCCTTGTACTCATGGGAATTATAGTCTAAGGATATAGCCCACAAGATTCATTATACATTTATTTAATTTGAAGCCATTCATTCATTCACCAAATCTCTACTGAGCCCCACTGTATACCAGGCCCTATACCGGGTACTGTGTAAACAAAAGAAGCCTGAATCCCTGCCCTCATGGCTTTTATGGGCCAGTGAGAGAGACAAATGATAAATAAATAGATAAAGATAAAATGGGAATTGTTATGAGGGACATGCACAGGCTCCTGAGATGGAGAGTAACCAAGCGGGGAGCTGAAGGGACTGCACGTCCTAAACCAAGGAGCCAGGAAAGGCTTCTCTGAAAGAAGAGACAGTGCAGTTGAGACCGAAAGGATAATAATAGCTAATACTTGCACAGCATTCACTATGGGCCAAGTGCTGCTCTCACTGCTTTATATATATCTTAACTCAATCCTTGTAACAACCTCATGAGGCTGGCGATATTATTTTCATCACCCCCATTTCATCACCATTTTATAAACGAGGAAATGGAGGCACAGCAGGTTTTAGAATGTATTGCTCTAGGCTGTTTCTAACCATATGCCACTTACAGGGGAGGAACACAGGCAGACAGCAGGACCAGCATTCCAGGCAGAGGGAGTCCGTGCAAAGGTCCTGAGGTAGAAAAGAGCTCAGAATGCTTGAAGAACAGAAGGAGGCCTGTGGGGTAGCAGTGCATTAAGCAAGGGTAAGCATGATAGAAGAGGGTGGTAGAATGGTTTAGAGTTGCAATAGGAAGTCTTGGAAGGGTTGGATAGTCAGGGGGTGCCTCTCTGTTCCCCAGACACTTCTAAATGGCTTGCCTTAGGCTGAGGCAGAGTCTTGGAGAGACGGATGAAAGAAGGGATAACACAATTGCCAGAGAGAGGAACTTTGGGGAAAGAGCAGGGATAGTTAGGGTAGACACAGGGTATTTGTTTTTCCTGGTTTGCATAGGACGGGCCTTGTTCAGGTCTCATGTCCTGATAGCATGATTAATAGTTACTTCTCTCACTTTCAAAAGTATCTAGGTTTGTATAAAAAATAAGCAAGACACCCTAGTTAAAGGGGACTTAGGGGGGGAATTTTGCTGGTCTGGCTTACCAAAAACTTCCCTCAACCTACAATGCTTCTGGAGTTGGGTTTGTGTTTTTTGGCCCAGCAGAAATGAGGGCAAGAAGGCGCAGTCACATCAAAACCAACACAGGGCCTGGCATACAGCTGGAGCTCAGCGATGCATGGGGAGTGACGTATTCATAAGAGCAACACGATTCGGTACCTCGCTTTTCCCCTGTGTAGGGAACCAGGTCTTCTCGGTCCTTAAACTCCTTTGCTTGCTTTTCCAAGTGATCCAAGAGCTCTTCCCTTTTAAAGGGGCCCGTGGGCGCCTTGGTGGTCTGATCCTTCTGCCTCAGGCCTGCAGGCAGCAGTGCATTCTATAGTGGAGGTTGTGGGACCAGAAAAGAGAGAGAGAGTGAATGAGAGAGAGAGAGAGAGAGAGAGAGAGAGAGAGAGAGAGAGAGAGAGAGAGTGGTCAGCTGCTGAACACATGCATTTCTCCAGAAACTCATCGTTGAACAATGGGGACTTCAGAGCTCATTGAATCAACCCAAGTCACTCCTTTACATGTAAGGAATCTGACACCTGGGAGGGGCAGGGACCTGTTCAAGGTCACTCAGCAGATGAGGGGCAGAGCCAGGCTAGGACTCAGGTCTCTTAATCTCCCTGAATTTAACAGCCTCTAACGTTTTTTTGAAGGCGAGGATGTGAGGGGGCAGCCCAGACGGGGCTGAGCGCAGAGGGACACTCCAAAAGCATCTGTTGAGTGACAAATATGATTAAGTCAGTGTTTGCATGCGGGAGGATATTTATAGCCATTGTGTATAAAGTGATCAGGGAGAGAAGAAGGCCAAGGGGTTTGAGTTAGGGCCCTGGATGCAGAGTCAGACAGGAAGAGGCAGGCCTAAAAAACAAGCGGGGAAAGCTTGGCAGAATGGAGAGGTGGGAGAGGTAGGAGAGGCACGCTTCCAGGCTGCAGCCCCGGAAGGCTCTACAGGCTGCCTTCTACCCTCCTAATGGTCCGTGCCGCGCCATGCTGGCTGTTAAATATTTTGAACGTCGCCCCTGGAGATGGGTCTCTGAAGAAAGATAGCATCAACCAATCATTGTGTTTTCTTCTTCAAACATGGGCAAACTTCTTCTAGGTGTGGGCTTCCTACTAAGGCAGATTCCTAATTAGGGTGAACTCGAATCACGTGGGCTTCCCCGTAACTCAGCCCCCAATACCTTAGAAGGTCAAAGTCTACAGTTGCAGGGATGCTTAGAGATTGTCTAGTGCATGCACGTTTCCTTCAAGGGTAAACTGAGGCCCAGTGCAAGGAAAGATTTGCCCAAGCAGTTTCAGGATAGATCTAAAACGAAACCTTCTTCAGATGTGGAGGAGGAGGGCAATCTTCGTTTCTATTCATTGCTCTCTTCCCACTCTATTTCATCCAAAGTAATAGTGGAGGACACCTGGAAGGCAGGTGTGAGCAGAATCTTACCCCACTTCCTGCCGCACCCCCAAATTAGCTAATCTGGAGAGCCATTCCACCTCTGGTCTTCATACCATCAAAATGCATACCTTTAAACACACACTCCACATCCCTTCCTGAAAGCCCCTCTGAGCGGGGAATGATATCAAATATATGAAGCTAGCTATGTGCACATAGAAGGAGAAGGCCTGGGAGAGAAATACTACTGGTTAACTGCAGCCTGATTTTTTTCCGAGACACGTGTACCATTGTTTAACACCACAGTACTGTTCCAGTAAGAGCAGTGCCTGTGAGATCAGGAGACTGCAGTGTGACCCCGACTCGGGGAGAGCTGAAGGTGAGTTGGCCTAGCCCAGGGCACGATACGTACAAGACACTCGGGGAGTGGTGCTGGTGTACGTGCACGTGGACTTAGGTCACAAGTCAGGAGACACATTTGGGAGTTGGAACATGTTATGAGAGGATGGCCAGTGGGGAGAAAATCAAGCCTTGACTGACTTGGGGGTGAGCATCAAGAACGTAAGTGATGCCACAGACATCCCCATTTCCCTTAAGCAGCAGTCCTCAGACACTGTCCGCTATGCTATGCCGAACAGGTGATGTCACAGGTGAGCCACACATCTTTGGGCATGTCCAAGGTGAGATTGGCTTTCCCTGTGGCTAGCTGTGTGTGTCCACTCTTTCTCTCCCATGGCAGAGCACTTGCTGTGACTCAGTTGAGTGGGAGGACAACCTAACTGTCCCTCTGTGACTACCCATAATGAGTCAATGCTTTATGACATACCTGCACTTCACTGTTGACCCCCATCAGGCTTAAGCCCTGACTTGGAGTAGTGATGACTCCAGCTATACAATCCTGGGCCAGTCGCCTAATCTCATTGTGTCTCAGTTTCTAGGGCTGTAAAACATGACTACTAGTCACTCTCTCAGAATTACTGAGAAAATTAAATCAGATAGTGAAGGAAGAAGAGTGCCAAACACTCACAAATCATTATTTATTATCACTGTTGCCCTATAATCCAATAAAATACACTTTAACAGGAGTTTGGTTACCCAACTATGTATGTTGAACAGGGGATGAATTATCCAAATATATCTCAAAATTCAAAACACGAAAACATACAAATATAAAATGAGCTAAGCACTGAAAGCAAGTGTTTTCCCAATGACCCCCAAAGAGGACGCCCGATAGATTTTTGTCACCATAAAGGGTTTTGATGGCAGTAAGGTGCTGGGGTACATTCTGGCCTCTAAGAGGCTCAGTATTGTGATGGGAGAAACCCGTGAGGTTGTAACTGAGAGAAAAAGTGTTTGCAAACTCACATCCCTGCTTGAATATAGTATTTGATAGAAGCCACTGATTTAGTTAAAGTAGGGTTTTCAACCTTGGCACAATTGATGTTTGGGGCTGGATGACTCCTCGTGGTGGGGGCTGTTCTGTGCAGCATAGACTGTTGAGCAGCATCTCTGTCCTCTGTCTAATGGATGCTGGTACCATCCTAACCCCCCACATTGTGACAAACCAAAATGTCTCCAAACATTGCCAGGTGTCCCCTGGGAAGCAGAATCACCCCTGACTGAGAATCACTGTGTAAAACTGAAGCCCATATCATTACAAGAGGGGAATAAAGATATTTTTAATGTATTTAAAAATATTACTTAAATAGCATGTTAAAATAATGGTTTTATTTCTTTAAATCTTTACTACGAGCAGTTGGTTTTTTAAAAACAAAAATGTCAAAGGCCTTTTCTAACAATTGTTAGCTTGTTGAATTTTTAAGTAAATATTGAGACTATCAACCTCATTAGGAGTTAAATTTTTTTCCATTAAATGATATGTTTAATGAAACATAACATGATTTTCAATTAAAGCCAAAGACAGCTGCATATTTTTTAAACTCCTAATTATTTCTCATTTTAACTAGTTTTCAAAAATGACATGTATACAAAAATTTACTCAAAATGGATCGAAGACCTAAATGTAAGAGCTACGACTATAAAACTTTTAGAAGAAAATATAGGGCTCAATCTCTGTGACCCTGCATTAAGCAATAGTTGCTTACATATGCTACTAAAACAATAAGCAACAAAAGAAAAAAATAGATAAATTAGACTTCATCAAAATTAAAAATGTTTGTGCTTCAAAGGACACTGTCAAGAAAGTTAATAGATAACCCAAAGATTGGGAGAAAATTTTTGCAAATCATATATCTGATAAGGGTCTGGTATCCAGAATATATGAAGATCTCTTACAATTCAAAATATAAGATAATATAACCCAATTTAAAAATAATCTGAATAGATATTTCTCCAAAGAAGACATAAAAATGGTTAATACACACATAAAAGATGCTCAACATCATTAGTCATCAGGGAAATGAAAATCAAACACAGAATAAGCACTATTTCACACTCACTGGGATAGCTATAATAAAAAACACAGATAATAACAAGTTGGTGAGAATGTGGAGAAATTGGAACATTCACTCAGTGCTGGTGGGAATGTTAAATAATGCAGCCTCTTTGGAAAAACACGCTAGCAGTTTCTCAAAAGCTTAAACATGGCATTATCATAGGATGAAGCAATTCTACTCCTTGAGGATATACCCAAGAGAAATGAAAACATATGTCCCCATAAAAATTTTGCAGTTCATAACAGCATTATTCATAATAGCCAAAAAGTGAAAACAACTCAAATGTCTATCAAATGATGAATGGATACATACATAAACATACAGCATACTATTTGGCAATAAAAAGAATCAAGTACTGATACATGCTACAACATAGATAAAACCTGGAAAACATCATGCTAAGGGAAAGACGCCAGTCACAAAGGACAACAGTGTCTGATTCCATTTATCTGAAATGTCTAGAATAGTCAAATCTATAGAGACAGAAAGTAGATTAGTGGTTGCCTAGAACTGAGGAGGTTGAGGGCAAATTGGGAATGAGAGATAAGGGGTATGGGTTTCTTTTTTGAGGTGATGAAAATGTTCTAAAATTGATTGCAGTGATGGTTGTATAACGCTGTGAATATATTAAAAAAAACATTGAGTTATACACTTCAAAAGGGTGAATTTTATGGTATGTAAATTGTATCTCAAAAAAGCTGTTATTAAAAATGGCATATGTTATCTAGGAAAAAAAGCTATAAAAATGGCTAATGCAATAACTAAACTAAATGGGCATGGACTGCTAAGGACAGAAGATGCTTTGTTTGCCAGTGGCCCACAGTGATGCTGAGATGGGCCAAGCTAGAGCTGGCCACATTTAAAATGATGTCCTGTTTTACAACGTGATGTGCCGTATTATGTGAATTAGTTGGAGGAGTTCAATGGGTAAGAAAATACTGCCTTGGACCTCTCATGACTATTAGAACCTAAAACCAACTCTCAAACCCAGGTATCCAATAGACAAGGAAAGAGTTCCCACAACCATTTTGTTCTCTGCTCTAACCAGGAGAGTATTAGATGAACGTGTATGAGTAGAAGTGTATCTTCATTTCTTGATCCCTTATCATCCAAAAGGCACCCATCGAATGAGTATTATGTGTCCAGGCAGTGTGCTATCAGGTAGGGCCAGAACCCCACAAAAAAGCTCTAATTTGGAGTAACAGGGAGATGGAAGGTAAGCGGGGGAAGTAGCATAAAATGAGAGAAAAGTCTTAATTACAGCATGTGTAGAAAACAATGTACTGCTTAAGCTTTTAAGATTAATCAAGATCCTAAGGGGGGGGGGTCTACTTTACTGAATAGCAAAGAATAGTCTACAATTAGCCTCCGCATTGCCTGTAAAGGTTATATACCTCCATGGTGCCTGCGGGCAACTGGAGCCAGCTAACCTTTAAGGAATTTAAGTCTCAGCCTCCTAATCTTAAAATGTGCACAGAGTCAATTTGC